AGGACCCAAAACTGTGGGAATTATGGCACGTTCCTTATTATGTGTAATGCAGGATTTAAATCATCAGCCGTATTTGGGGGGTTCCGTCTGATATTTATAGTATGATGGTCCGCGAAACCCTATTCCAATTATTAAGGCCCCTGTAGGAGGGTTTCGTAAAAGGCTTCCTTAACAGGGCATCCTTATAGCAAGCTTAGCACCCAGAGAATCCAATATCCCTTAATTAAGGAAGCCACCTTCAATCATCATGGGGATCCTACTATAATTTAAGGTATATTCCTTAATTCTCATAGTACCCTTATAGATACCCTTATAGATCCCCGTAATCTAAGGTAGACCCCAAGGGCCCCTAACCCTGGGGCCCTAATATACCTACTATATACCCTGTATATACCCTTAAGGGACCCTAGAATCCCCTAAGGGCCCATGTTAGGGGCCCATGGGTTCAACATTAGATTTAAAGGAGCCCTTTAGGGCCTATTCCTTACTCAAGGGATATTGGAGTCTCTGGGCAGCCTCATCAACAACTTTCGGCCCGATGTGGGGCTTCGGGTCTAGGGTTTAGGGATGAGGGTTTAGGGCTTATGGGTTCAGGGTCTAGGGCTTAGGGATTAGGGTCTAGGGTTTAGGGATTAGGGTTTAGGATGAGGGTTTAGGGATGAAAGTTTGGGGTTTAGGGCTTAGAGTCAAGGATTTAGGGTCCAGGGATTAGGGAATAGGAAAAGGGTTTAGGGAGTAGGGTCCAGGGACTAGGGTCTAAGGTTTAGGGTTTAGGGTTTAGGGTCTAGGGATTAGGATTTAGGATTAGGGTTTAGGAATTAGGGTTTAGAGTTCAGGGTTTAGCGTCTCGGGATTAGGGTTCAGGATTAGGGGTTAGGGATTAGGGTTTAGGGATTGGGGTCTAGGGTTTAGGACATCTAGCACTAGACCTGTGAAAAGAGCTGATGCCTAAATTAAGGGAGGTCGTGGTTGGTAGACTCTGTTGCGTTCTTTTTCGGGGGGCTTTTCAGCGCCGAGGAACAACCCTAAACCCTAAACCCTAAACCCTAAACCCTAAACCCTAAACCCTAACATGACTGTTCTGGTGCTTTGGGCCTGGGGAGGCTTCTTGTTTGGGAGTTGAGATTCAGGCTCTGCGGTTTATCGTTTATGGCTTTGCAAGACTACGTCCCAAGGATTTCAGATAGAGTTCTCAAGATCATGGTGTTTAGGGCATAATGTCAGGGAGGTGGACCTCCAAGGTCACGTTTTATGCGCTCTTGCAAGCGTGTGGCGCTGAAACACCGCTGACCAATACCACAACAATTTAACACTTTCCCGCTCCTTACCTAGCCACTGTTCAGACATCCTTTAGTTGAGCCTTGGACGACACTGCTGTCACCACCAAACTTAGCATCACCCCATGTCACGGCAGCTCCGTCGCCGAGAATGGCAGCACAAGCGCCGTAAGAGGCTTGGATCTGCTGCACATTCCTCAGCTGATCCCGCGCAGCACTGCTGTCACCACCGAAGTCAGCATGACCCCAGGTCACGACACATCCATCGCCAAGAATGGCAGCAAAAGCGCGGACGGTAGCTTGGATCTGCTGCACATCCTTCAGCTGATCCTGCACGGCACTATTGTCACCACCAAGCCTATAATGACCCCAGGTCGCAACAGTTCCATCGCCAAGAATGGCAGCGAAAGCGAGGTGAGAGGCTTGGATCTGCTGCACATTCCTCAGCTGACCCTGAACACTGCTGCTGTCACCACCAGTGGCTGGGTCACCCCAGGTCACGACGGATCCATCGCCAAGAATGGCAGCAAAAGCGTTGTCGGAGGCTTGGATGTGCTGCACATTCTTCAGCTGATCCTGCACGGCACTACTGTCACCACCAAGCCCATCATGACCCCAAGTCGCAACACTTCCATCGCCAAGAATAGCAGCAAAAGCGCCATGAGAAGCTTGGATGTGCTGCACATTCGTCAGCTGATCCTGTACAGCACTACTGTCACCACCAAATCTGGCGTCACCCCATGTCACGACGGATCCATCGGTAAGAATGGCAGCAAAAGCGCCGTAAGAGGCTTGGATCTGCTGCACATTCCTCAGCTGATCCCGCACAGCACTGCTGTCACCACCGAAGTCAGCATGACCCCAGGTCACGACACATCCATCGCCAAGAATAGCAGCAAAAGCGCCGCGAGAAGCTTGGATGTGCTGCACATTCGTCAGCTGATCCTGTACAGCACTACTGTCACCACCAAATCCGGCGTCACCCCAGGTCACGACAGATCCATCGCCAAGAATGGCGGCAAAACCACGGTTAGTGGCTTGGATGTGCTGCACATTCTTCAGCTGATCCTGCACAGCACTGCTGTCACCACCGAAGTCAGCATGACCCCAGGTCACGACAGATCCATTGCCAAGAATGGCAGCAAAAGCGAGGTAAGAGGCTTGGATCTGCTGCACATTCCTCAGCTGATCCCGCACAGCACTGCTGTCACCACCGAAGTCAGCATGACCCCAGGTCACGACACATCCATCGCCAAGAATGGCAGCAAAAGCGCGGACGGTAGCTTGGATCTGCTGCACATCCTTCAGCTGATCCTGCACGGCACTATTGTCACCACCAAGCCTATACTGACCCCAGGTCGCAACAGTTCCATCGCCAAGAATGGCAGCAAAAGCGCCGGCGTCAGGGTCTCTAGAACGTTGAAGTTGAATTTGATTTATGTGCAATGTGAGCGAGTCGCCAGTCTGAACTCTGGCTCTCCTGATTGGCAGATGCGGATCTAGAACATTTCCGGATGAGTCCAGTAGCCGCCCGTTCCCGACTCCGAAGACCGTCTGTGCTCGACGTGTTAAGACCTTGACCTCATCATCTAAGCCGACTTGCACGATAGCCGTTCTGCCGCTGAGTAGTCCGACTTGCACGGTAACCGACATTTTGAAAGCAGGTGCCGTTTCCTGGACAACGTCCACTCGCAGTATAACTTCCTTGCTGTTCTCGGATTCCTTGTCATAACTATACTATAAAGGAGCCCAAAACCTTGATCTAATTATTGAGGCCCCCAAGCATTACACCCTAAACCCTAGGCCCTAAACTCTGAAGTCCGGTGCGCAACTCGGCTCTGTTAGCTGAAAGTCGCTTCTTCACATCAGCTGCAGGGATGAAGGCAAGAAACCAGCAAATGTGGGGGTTCGAATAATTAGAATAAGGTTTTGGGCTCCTTTATAGTATAGTTTTAATAAGGAATCATGTGGGGGCCTGAATAATCAGGCAATTATCCCCCTATTGTGCCTAGATAACTATAGTAAAAAAGCTGCAAAGCCCTTTTTCCTAAACACTAAACCGTGTCGTACTTGACGGAAGCTTGGCTGACTTCTGAACCCCTCCTAAAAGTTAAACTTTTAGCCTCCTTATTATAGTTCATATAGGAACCCAAAAAGTTAAAGTCCTAAGAGCTAACCAGAAGAACGCCAAGGAAGATTGGGTCTTGACCCGCTCCCAACCCGACTAGGGTTTAAGGGGTGTAGGGTTCAGGGGGTTTAAGGGGTTTAGGGGTTTAGGGTTTAGGGTCCGAAAACCCAAAACCCTCAACCCTACAGAGTTCGTTTTGAGTGGCCGGGAAAACCCAAGCTTGAGAATGAGCCCTCCTACGACCCCTCCTTAGGAAGGGCCGGCTTTGTTGTGCCTTGGACTTTGGATTTGAGTAACCTAGGGGCCTTATTAATTAGAATAGGGTTTCGGAGTATATTATATACTAGAATTATAATAAAGGCACCCCCCCTCCAAAAAAAAAATCAAAGCAAGAACAACGATTTTGGCAATTATTTAGGCCCCTATATTAGGGGTCTGGTATCTGCTCTGTTTTAGTACTGCTGCAACCAGCCCCGAGCCCAGAGAACTCTGAACCAACGTACTTTTGCCAAAAACCCTCAGCTTGTACAGGATCCTGACCGATTACATTGCGGCTTTGGCTTATAGTACAGTATAAGTATACCCAAGAGACTCCAATACCCCTTAATTAAGGAATATCCCTTAAATCATGTTAGGGATCCTACTATAATTCAAGGTATATTCCTTAATTAAGGGGTATTGGAGTCTCTGGGTACAGTATAAGTATACAGGGAGATCTGGTTGCCAGTGTTTCGACACCTGAATTTCTAAGGACTTTAGGAGGGACCCCTAATAGGGACCCTTAATCCCATTACCTTAAATCACCATTGTATAGTCCTTTATATACCCCTTATATAGCCAGGTAGTCCCCCCTACAAGGGTCCCTATTAAGGGTCCCTCCTCAAGCCCCTAAACCCTAAACCCTGAGCCCCTAAACCCTAAACCCTAAACCCCAACCTATTAAGGGTCCCTCCTAAAGCCCTTAGAGAATTATCCGGACCAGCAGAGCTCCAAACCATGGGCCGCCGCGCCTGCGGCTGTCTTCGCCTTCTGCATCAGCATCTTCGACTCGTCGATAGAGTTGAACCTGGGAAGAATAATCAGAATAGGGTTCCTTTAAGGGTTCTTTTCAAGGGTTCCTTGTATGAGTTCTATAAGATTCTACAAGGGCTACCGTACGCATCAGCATCTTCGACTCGTCGATAGAGTTGAACCTAGGAGGCACAAGACTCCCTGAAAACCTTCATAATTTGAATAGGGTTCAGGGTTCAGGGTTAGGGTTTAGGGTTTCTGATTTAGGGTTTAGGGTAGGGCCTTCATAATTAGAATAGGGTTCCTTTAAGGGTTCTTTTTAAGGGCTCCTTTAAAGGGTTCTATAAGGGCTACTGTAAGCATAAGCATCTTCGATTTGTCGATAGAGTTGAACCTGCACAGCAGGGATTCGCAAACTGGGGCTCCTGTGCTTTCTTTCAGTGAAGTTACCAAGGGTTTAGGGTTTAGGGTTTAGGGTATCATCACAGGGCAATTCTTTCTGCCAATTCTTTCCGCGGTTAACGTATCTGAAGAAGTTGCCCTAGCGATATTCCTTCTGTGAGGGCTTCCCTAGTGTGCTGATGGTTCTCATATGGTTGACTAGGGGATCTTTAACTTCTGCTTTGGCGTTTCTTATGATAATCTCAGGTTGAAACCATGGGCCCCTAGTATGGGCTCTTAAGGGTGGGATCCTTATATACCTACTATACACCCTATATGTACCCTTAAGGGTCCCTAGAAAGGCCTAAGGGTCCATATTCGGGGTCCATACTTGTAACCTCAGAAATAAAGAGCTTTCGGTTCAGGGTCTCTGTTTTGTTATGCCTTTTTTTTTTCCTAAAACTCCCGGCCAGAACGGGTTTAGGGGCCCCGTGAACCCCACACCCGAAACCCGAAGCCCTGAACACTCAACCCTATAAACCCTAAACCCAAACCCTAAACCCTAAACCCCGAACCCCGAACCCCAAACCCAACACCAACCCTACACCGAACCTCCAGCGCTTTTGGAAGCTTCATGGTGTTACGGTTACGTAGTCTGCCAAATGGGCAGTTCTCTAAATTAGGGTCCCTTTTTAGGGTCCCTTTTATAAGGGTTCCTGTAAGGTATCTACAATAAAGGATCTTTAGGGTTTAGGGTTTGGGGTTTGAGGGTAGTTCTCTAAATTAGGGTCCCTTTTTAGGGTCCCTTTTATAAGGGTGCCGTACTATATTGGGGACCCTAACAAGGGACCCT